TGGCAGCGGTGAGGGACCAAGGGAGCAGGCATGTGGGTGCCTGGGTGCATGTGTGACAGGGACACCCTGTTCAGTCTCACAGCAGTCCTGAGGGGTGAAGACTAGCCTTCCCATTTTTAAAAGTAGGGAAACTGAGGCATCGGCAGCTGGGGTGACGTAAGGCTCGCTATACCACCCTGAGTCTCCTCCGCAGCCCCGCTCCTGGCTGACACCCCAGAGGGAGCCACGTTTGCCCCAAGCCTTGGGCATGGAGTCTGCTGCTCCTCTCCTGAGCGAGTCATTCATTCATTCGTTCATTCCTCTCGCACCCACTCACCCACTCATTCGCTCTCTCTCACCTAGCCGCTCATTCGTTTACTCGATGAGCATGTACAGAGAGCCTGCTGTGTATCAGGTCCTTCTGCCGTCTTCTCTCCCCTGGGCGTTTGGGAAAGCGAGAGTCGAAGCAGCAGGGCGGAGGTCGCAGATGTGGAGACACGAGGAGCTCCCTGACTGGCCAAAGCACAGAAACAACCTCCGGCCTAGGAGCTTTGCCCCCAAGGGATGTTCTTTATTACAAACTGTTCTTGGCACTTACCCGAGGAAGCCACCCCATCCGTAGAGCAGGCCCTTGGGGTGCGTGGGGCCTGGGCAACTGCAGAGACTCTGCCGGTGGTGCCTGGGATGCCCTTGCTGTCCTGTCTGTCCGTGAACTGACTGGTCCTCTGCCTAAAGAGTCAGGTGGAAAATGGAAATCCGGACCCACAGGCCTGCTCTGGGGAATAAGTGATACTTTGCCCATTGTTCTTGGACTGGGTCTCTGGGAGGTTTAGGGAATCTTAGCGATAAGGTTGGAGCCCTCCAGTCAACTGAAAGATGGGATCGGGGATCATTGACTGAGCACCTGCTAAGCGCCAGGCGCTCGGAAGGATTTCCCACGGTGGGACAAAGTAGGGGTGGTTTTCCCATTTTGTAGGTGAGAACACTGAGGCCCAGAAAGGCTCTCCTGTGGCTGGAGTTAATCAGTGACAGCCACCACTCAGCTTCCAAAGGCCGAGCTCTTTCTGCTGCCAGAGCAGGGAAGGCCCCAGGGAAGGCCCCAGTGCTCCCCTCACCCCCACTCTGCCTGAAGTCCACCCTCACTGTGTACAGCAAGGAGGTCCACGTCCTCCGGGCCGTGCACCCATGGAGGCCCGGTTCTCCGAGCTCTTCTGCGTGCAGAGCAACAGGCCATGGGAACTAAGTGTCGTGGGCGTGATTTGCTTTATTTTCAGTTTTAGTCACTTGTGTTCACTTTGGGCCCCATCCCCACGGGTCACGGAGGTGCCAAGTCACCGTCCTCCCTTCCCTCAGCCCCTCCTTCAGCCTGCTCTTGAGATCACTTAACATCTGTGGTCGGTCATTTTTTTCCCCACATCAGGCAAAGAATCACGGACGTGGTGAGGCCTGTTGTCCGGCCACCGCCAATGCGGGGCCCGAGTCCACACGCACATGCTGTCGTGAGGCGTCATAGCTGCGTTTCATTTCCCTGTGTTCCAGACACAGGAGCTGTGGCCTTCTCAGGACGCGGGGCAACCCTGACTGACCACCTCCTTGGACGAGGCGGGCTGTGGTAACCTCCCAGGGAGGGGGTGGTTTCTGTGGCCTTCCCTATGTCAGGATCCAGGGGGGCCGCAGCCTGAGAGCACCCCGGGACCCCCTCCTCGTGACCCCCACCTGCACCTCAGCTCCCCATCACCACCTGTGGACCTGAGCCTGTCAGGGAGGCCCGAGCAGGCAAAAGGCAAAATCACGACAGGAGGGGCTGCGGCAGCATCAGGCACACACCAGATCTCTGTCAGCCTCTGAGGGCCCCCACCACGTGCCAGAACCCCCACCTCCTCAGTTGGCCCGTGACCAGCACCTTTGATAGATGGAGGATAATGAGGACAGGCCGCTGAGCTGGGTCCTATCAGCAGAGGCACCGGGAGCTCCCTGCAGGCCCTCCTGAGATCTAGGCTGACAGGGACTCACTCTGGGACGGGTCAGCTGCTCAGCACCTTCCATGCTCCCAGGCCTCAGTTTCCCCACAGCCGTGTGCTTCTTGTACCTCAATGCTCGTGTTGTCTCCTGCTCCAGGCCAGCCCAGTGAAAGGAGGCTTCAGACCCGGTGCCAGGTGTATGTGAATCATAGGCACACGCGGGTTCCGGAGTGTGCAGATGAATATAGATGTGTGTGTATGTGTGTGTGTGTGTGTGGTTATTTTTTATTTTTTTATTATTTGCTTCATTGCACTTAAGTCACATTTTCCTATGCTCTGATCCAAGCTCTAAAAGCATTTTGTGGGATAAAATCTCCCATCATCTGATCCACTCGACCGAAATAAATCAACTCCCCTGCCGTCATCTTCCTTGAAAAGCCCCTGCGTCATGCTCCGAAGCCGGAGGGAGAGGCCTCGCCCGGGGAAGACGCTTCATAATAATCCCCCCAGCGCCCCCAGCCTCTCCATCCCCTGGGGGGCTGCTCTGGTTTCTTGGGCTGTTATTACTGGAATGCCAGCTGCTCCACTTACAGCCCATCCGTACAGACCTGCTCTGTCTGCCTCGGGCCCCACAGGCCTCCGCTTAGCTCATCTCGTGGAAATATCATTTTAAAAATAAACGCCTGTTCAATTCACACTTCCCTCTTGCCTCCGCTGTGTCTCCTGGCCTCCTGCACACGGCACCAGAGGATCCATTAAGGCACTGCCGTCTCCCAGAGCCCTCCAGTGGTCAATTGTCAGTGACTGGCCAGCCACCCGCTGGTGCCTTCAGGGCGGCCTCAGAGGCCCTCTGGGGCTGCCCAACTTGACTTCTCCTCAGTCCTGTGGTCATTTAAGAGCTCCTTAAATGTGGCATGGGGGAAAGAGTGAGAGCTCTGGAGGTGGACATACTTGGCTCTGCCACACACATGCCCTGTGACCTTGGGCAAATTATTTCCCACTCTGATCCCCCTGGGTACATGAGTGAAGAGGTGCCTCCCTCCTAGGCATACAGGGCAATGGGTGGTATTGGTTCTTATGAACGGCATAAAGTATGTTCTCAAGGGGAAACTACGTTTAAAGTTTCCTTGCAGGTCTTCTGTGAACTTCTGTCATCTTCTGTCACCCATACTGTGCTGCTTTTATGGCACCAGAAAGCAACTCATAGGTAGGCCAGGAATTGTTGAGTAAAACAGCATGATTGTGATATGTCATGAGTGGAGTTCTGACAGCTTCAAAGCAGTTAGTGCTTTGGTTCGGTGGGGCACTTCATGCCTGAGAAGCCACAGAGTGTCATGTTAAGAGGGCAGACTCCATGGGGCTGGCCCGGTGGCATGGTAATTGAGTTTGTGCACTCCACTTCGGCAGCCTGGGGTTTGCCGGTTCACATCCTGGGCATGGACCTATACATTGCTCATCAAGCCATGCTGTGCTGGCGTCCCACATACAAAATAGAGGAAGACTGGCACAGATGTTAGCTCAGGGACCATCTTCCTCAAGCAAAAAGAGGAACATTGGCAACCAGATGTTAGCTCAGGGCCAATCTTCCTCACCAAAAAACAAGTGCAGGGGCCAGCCCCATGGCCAACTGTTTAAAGTTCTGTGTGCTCTGCTTTGGCAGCCCAGGCTTTGTGGGTTCAGATCCCAGGCATGGAGCTACTTCACGCGTCAGCCATGCTGTGGAGTCATCCCACATACAAAATAGAGGAAGACTGGCCCAGATGTTAGCTCAGGGCCAGTCTTCCTCACCAAACAAATAAATAAATAAATGAGTGAATGAATGAATGCATGCATGCAGACTCCACAGTTTTGAACCCCAGTTCAGCCACTGATTACTGTGGCATTGGACAAGCGATCAGTGTCTCTGCCTCAGTTTCCTTGGCTATAAAATAGGTATAAGAAAAGTCCCTATCTCCTGGGGTTGGCATGGGGATGCTGTGAGGTGGGAGGCATGAACACTTCAAATCATGCCTGGCACAGGGAAGATGCTGTGTACATCCTGTGCGTTTGTTGCGGTCATTATATTATTATGTGGCGGGAGGTTAGGAAGGACAGACGTGCAAGTGGCATTCATTTTCATCTCACTCCTACAGCACTTCTTCTTCGGGGGCAGTTTTGACAATGTTTGGAGTCATTCTGGTTGTCACAACAGGGAGGAGAGGGTACGATTGGCATCTAATGGGTGGAGGCCCAGATGCTCCTGAACGTCCTTCGGTGCACAGGACAAGCCCCCGCCACAGAGGATTATCAGGTCCCAAAAGTAAATAGCGCGACGCTGTGAGAAACTTGGCCGTGATGGGAGCTTTCTGGTAGCGCCGTGGGCCCCTTTCTCTTCTCTAGCACTTGCCTTGGTTCTGCTTTGCATCTCTCGGTGTGATTATTTGACTACTACCCATCCCACTGATATAATGCAAGCTTCTGAGTGTGAGAGAAGATTTCTTTCTCTCTCCAGGCTGTCCAGGCCGGTGCTGCCTAGTCAGCCCCCCCCAGATCGCAGTCGAGGCAGCACTGGGACCTGTCAGACCAAGCTGAGGTCCCAGGATCGCCGCTTCCTGGCTGTGTGACCTTGGGCCAGTGGCACCGCCTTTCTGAACCTCCATTTCTTCACCACAAATGGGATTGTAAATAGCTGATAAATTTAGAGTGGAAGTTAAGATCGCAGGGCTCCAGGATCAAGACATACCTGAATTCCAGTCACAGCTCTGCTACTTACTCTGTGAACTTAGTTACCTAACTAAGCCTCAGTTTCCTCATCTGTGAAATAGGTATAATCCCGTTCCTCGTTCAGAGGGTTCATATGGGAAGGAGCTGATGCTGATTACTATTATTATTATTATATTATTAAATTCATCATCCAACAAGTGGGTTTTTTGAGCTCCATGTTCCAGACCCCATTGGTTACCATGTGGTGGGCATGATGGGGCAGAGCGTCTGCATTTGCTGAGCTCATCATCTCGTGATTTGGGAGGTGTCTGGCCTGGCAGTCCCCCAGTGCTGATCTCTGACCTCCCCCCCTTTCAGATCTGTGCCATCATTGGTGGGACCTTCACTGTTGCCGGCATTCTGGACTCCTGTATCTTCACAGCCTCAGAGGCCTGGAAGAAGATCCAGCTGGGCAAGATGCATTGATGACCTGCCCGGCCCCGTGGCCAAGGACCCAGGGAGACTGCCAGCCCTGCCTCCGCGCCCTGTCTCCTCCTGCCCTCTCTCTGGCCCAGGATCTGGCTGCGTCCCCAAGTGGTGGTGGGGGGAGGGAGGAGGCGGCTCATGGTTTCGCAGCTACCTCTTTTCCCCAAGTTTAATTTTAGACAAACTACACTGCCTGAAGTAGTGGTGCCCCTTTCCCTGGGGAGCCCCAAGACCAGAGTCAGGGAAGGGGGTCTTGGGGATATTGGGGACCACTCCTGAAGGATACGGTCCCTTCCCTCTTAGGGAACAGCTCAGAATCCACGTCAACCAGCTCTCATCCAGGCTCTGACAATCTCAAAGCCCCCGCCACTGGGACGCTCTAATCACCCGCAGACCTGGGCTCTCAGCTTTGGACCAGGCTGCCCAATGGTACCTCCCACCTGGCGCCTTCAACAAGGGATGGTACTGCCCAGGCAAGCCCCTGAGAGATGGCACTGTAGCTGGGACCCTCGCTACCCCTCCATCCCTTCCTGCCTGCCCTAGAACCCAGGCCTCAAGTCCCTTATCCCCATCCCTTTCTTTTTCTCCCAAGAAGCAGATGCCCAGTTGCTGAGCAGCAGCGGTGGAGACTGAAATCTGCCCACTGGTCCCTGGGCAGGTGGCAAGTTCCCCTTCCTTTCTTCACCTTGCTCCTCTGAACCCTGTGCCAATGTGCCTCGGCCGGCCCCTGTGCTGTGTGGCAAGAGCATCTCTTGGTGGAGGGGCTGGTTGTGATCGGGAAGTCCTTCTTTGAGAACTAGACATGGTTTGTGCACTTATGTCCAGACGGGAAGCATCCTTCTCGGCAACCCTGAAATCATCAGGTCTCAGCCTGTCCCAGACAGCCAGCATCAGTCCAAGGCCTTAGGTGGGGAAGAAAAGCAGACCAGCATCCTCCCGTCTGTGGACGTCCACCTTCTGGGCGCCCAGGAGGTGCACAGCGCTGGCACCTCTCTGCAGCTCGGTTGTGGCCCACTTGCCACTGAGCTCCCCTGTTGGCTGGCCACACACCAACACATTCCTTGTCCCTGGGTGGCTCCACTGTCTCCCCACTTGCTCCTGGCCTGGGTCCCTACCCCACTGCTCCCTCGCGTCCTTCCCCGTTAGTCCCAAAAGGGAGGAGCAATGGTGCAGGCACTAATTCCACCCAGGGAATTTTAGGTATGCCCTCGTGTCCCAGGGAGAGAGCCGCCCGCCTCTTTTCCATTTATATCAAGATTGTTTGCATACTTTTGTAATTAAGGGGAGTGTCCAGTGGAAGGAGTTTTTAAATTGTATCTCTATGGATAGCTCAAGTCTCTGCCATTTGTAATTTTTGGCTCTGTATTCCAATTAGAAAAGCTTCCCCTTTTGCATATAGGTTGACTGATGCTGTGAATGTAAACTGCATTTGGTTATTTCTGGTGTCTGTGGCCACTTGATGGATTTTTTTTCACATTCTGTTCCCCAGTTACAGAAGGAGTCCCTCTGGTGTGTGAATACACGTGCCTGTAGAGGGTGGGCAGGGCGGGGTGGGGAAATGGGCGGCATGCACATGAGTTAGAATTCCACTTTTATGCATTTTTTAAAAAAAAAAAAGCTTGCGGACATAGGGGATGTCGGTTTCCTATGGAAGAGACACCTCTGACCCATTATTCTTATAAACAAAATCTCCAGGGAAAAAAGTGTTTTAGTTCTTTCCCCACTCATCGGGTTCAAATAGATTAAAAGGCTAATTTTCAGAAATATTGCTGTGTGTTTCTTTCTACCTGATCTTGGCTGGGCGGCCTGGAGGCTGGGGTCACAGTCAGCATGGGATTTCATTCCAGAGGAGAGAAATTGGGAAATGTGGAAAAGATCTGTGAGGAGGATCAGAAAGTCAAGACCCCTTGGATGCAGCCCCTCCTTTATGGAGTCCCTACCGAATGTTCCAGATCTGTCACTTTTGAGCTGTGCAGCCTCAGGCCGGGTCCCCAACCTCTCAGTGCCTCAGTTTCCTCAGGTAAAAAGGGGAAAAGCAATTACCCCACATAGAGCTGTCGTGGAAATTAAGTCTATCATATGTGCAAGTAAATCATGCTGGATCAGAACGAGCTCATGGATGCAGGAAAGTGGTACATGGTAAATTTTGAAAAATGGGAGTCGTTTCCACATAACCCCCAAATACAATATAATCTCCTTGAGAACAGCACTAACCTTTCTCCCAGCTTTGAGCCAAGGGCTGCACGAATGAAAGGTGTTTCATAGATTCTTGATTTCTGAGGACCTGGCATTCCATTTTCAGCCCTAAGCTCAGCGAAGGCAGATCGTCAGCTCTGCTGGTACTCACCGTCCCGCTGTGCAGTGCTTCGAGGGCCTTCCCCCAACGGCGCAAATGTGGGTAAGCACATCAGGGATGAAAGTGGGAGCCAGCGGTCTGCAAGAAACTCTTCATTGAGCCTCCCCGTTCTCTCTCTAACATCCTGTCTGATATCTGAGTTTTGTGACACTCAAAGCTAGTAGTCAAGAGCAGTGTGCCTACCGTCAGTCAGTTTTGTGGCTTCCCAAACCTGTTTCTGCCAGCTGTGCTTTATGCTGTAGGGATGTGACTTAGTTAACCCATGAAATATGACTGACAATGAAAGCAGCTACAAAACTGAGTTGAATACTTTGGAGAGACCTGGTAAAAGTGAGTTGCCACCCCCTCCTCAAAATTAGAATTAGATGTGAACAAGACGACCGAAAAGGTTAGGGGGTGGGGGAGGTCCTTGAGGATTGTGCATTCACATTGAAAGTGTCTTAAGTCCTCGCTCCACATTAAAGAAACCGAAAACTGGAACTCTCTGGTTGCTTTATTTAAGGACACGCTTTATGTAAGGATAATGAAGAAGGACTCCAATAGAGGTCTCTCAGGGAAAAAGCCCTGCTTCAGGGTCAAAAGATTGGCGAATACGTTTTAAGTTGACATAAAACAGTTAAGGTATGTATGTGTCCTTTCTATGATTTCTCTCTTAAACCAATTCAGTTATCTAGCCAAGTGCAGATTGCGGTGTTTTGGTGTAAGAGGATTTCTCCCTCAGGGATTACAGCGCAGACCCACAGCGGGCAGGGGATGGGCTAGGGCTGTGCTGGTTCAGGCAGCAAGGGCTCCTCCTGTGGAGGCTGCAGCTGCCAAAGAGGTGCGTCAGCGACGAGAGAAGCCCCAGGGCTGTGGCCGCACTACCTGCGCGGGTACCGCAGACGCGATGTGAACCTTGGGAAGAAGTGGGGTGCAGCGTGGGGCTCATGAGTGGCAGCTGTAGTTTTTATTACCATATATCATCAATTAGTTTTTGATTCTTGCCAGAAACAAAGACATTTTCTCAATGTGGCAGACCATTGGTAGTCCTAACCCGTTCTGAGGAAACTGGGTCATTAGCTGCTCCAGCAGGTAGATGCAGCTGTCTAGAGATGTGAGAGGGGGCCCGGGGGGAGGAGAACATCCACCTGAGACCCTTTTCCCTCCCCAGTGGGTGTCTTCTGTCAGTCACGTAACAATGAAGCCATGCACTTTATTCTGGCGAAAATAAATTATTTCTGCCTTAACTGTTGTAGTAGCAGGCACCAGTGGTTGGGCATTCTCCATGTACCAGGCAAGGAGTGACTGTTCAGGCCCAGCCTTTCTTAATCCTCAAGCAGTCCTACGAAGTGAGTGTGACCTCCTTTCTAGGAAGGGGAACACAGGATTTAGTAACTTGTCTCCATCACACAGCCAGCTGGTGGTAAAGCTGGACTTCAACCCCCTGTCCGGCCGCCTCACTCCAGGGTTACAAGGAATTGTGTGGTTCCACCTCATCTCCAAGATCACCTTTTTTTCTTTTCTTTTTTTTTTTTTTTTTGAGGAAGATTAGCCCTGAGCTAACTACTGCCAGTCCTCCTCTTTTTGCTGAGGAAGACTGGCCCTGAGCTAGCATCCGTGCCCATCTTCCTCTACTTTATATGTGGGACGCCTACCACCAAGTAGTGCGTGCCAAGCGATGCCATGTCCGCACCCAGGATCTGAACCGGCGAACCCCAGGCCACTGAGAAGCAGAAGGTTCGAACTTAACCGCTGCGCATCCGGTCGGGCCCCCTCCAAGATCGTCTTGTCTGTGTCGAAAGGGAAAGCCGACACCCCCTCCCACCCGGCCCGGCCACCAGAAAAAGGGAAAATTGAAAGTAGCGAGGGTCTTCTGTCTTTTGTTTTCTTCCTTTAGACAGCCTGCAGAGAAAAGCTAAATTGAAAGTTGGGGATATTCTTAAACAAGAATTTAAAACCCTTAAAATATGATTTTAATTACACAAATGATACATGCTCATAGTGCCACTGGAGGAAAATCAGAGCAAAAGGGAAAATTAAAGTCACCCATAATGCCACTAATCTGAGATAATCACTGTTCACATTTTAGTGACATCCTTCCATAAACAAAATGGGATCGTGCTGTTAATATTATTTTGCAGATTACTTTTTTCCTCCTTAATAGACACCTTTCTACGTTAATGACTATGAATCTCATCATTATCTCAATACTATATTGGCTGCAAGATAACAATAGCCATATTGAGTATCTAATGGTGGATCATGTTCACATTCTGCTCCCATCTCTTTCTGTTTTCTCAGCTATAAAGGGGACAATTCAGAGGGTTCTTTGCCAGATTAAATAAGGTGATGTTTGTAAAGTTGTTGGCACAATGCCTGACAGTAAATGCTCAGCCTAATAAAATTGGCCATTTTTTTTTTTAGAGATTGGCACCTGAGCTAACAACTGTTGCCAATCTTTTTTTTTTTTTTTCTGCTTTATCTCCCCAAAGTCCCCCGGTACAAAGTTGTATATCTTAGTTGCAGGTCCTTCTAGTTGTGGCATGTGGGACGCCACCTCAACGTGGCTTGATAAGTGGTGCCATGTCCCTGCCCAGCATCTGAACGGTGGCATCCTGGGCCACCGCAGCAGAGTGGGCCGACTTAACCGCTTGGCCACAGGGCCAGCCCCAGATTGGCCATTGTTATTCGTTCACTTAATAAACAATAATTTCTACCACTTACTAAGTGCTTACTTTGTGCCAGACGTTGTGCTAAGAGTTCATTTAATCCTGACACCAAACCGATGTGGTAAGTACTATCATTATTCCCATTTCTCAGATGAGGAAAGTGAGTGACCAGGAGGCTAAATATCTTATCGAAAGTGTATTCAGGAAATGGTGGAGATCCAGACCGAGGCAGTGAGAATCCAGGGCTCAGGTACTTCCCACCACATCAGCCTCTGCCTCAGAGACATGAAAATATTCCCTGGGCATTTCCTCTGTGCCAGCCGTCGGCTAGGTCCTGGGGCTTCTCTACCAGTCCCTGTTCGTGTTTCCAAGGGTGGGCATGAGGGAAGACAGTAGGCAATCCCACTAAATCCTCATTAGACTGACGGAGCCTAGGCATTTTACCTGGTGATGTCATTGCGCCTGTCTTAATTCCCTGATCCACACTGGGGGTAAAAAAATGTCTCACCACCCTGGTGGATCCTGAATACACCTTGAGGATCTTGGGTTGTGAGGCTCTGCCCTCACATGGGTGCCCTGTGCTGAGGAGGCTCTCACTCCTTGGGAGCAGGGACGAGACCTCACCCCCGCCCCCGGATCCCTTTGATCTAGCCCTGTACCTGTGGCTCCATGCAGGTACCAAATAAACGATGATTAATTTAATGAGCAAATGCATGAATGCATATGTGAGTGAGTTAACGAATGAGTGAGATAGAGAAGTGAATGAATGAACAGAGAAGGAGCCAGTGAGTGAGTGAATGAATGAATGCATGAATGAACAAACTCATCAGCGGGCTTGGGTCTGAAGAAATGTAAGGCTGCTCTGACCCTCCTGTGCACTCGGTCATAACAGCGTCTGCTCCTGCCATGCCCATGGGAAATGGCCTCCTTTCCCTCCCCCCCCACCCCAGCTTTACTGAGATATAATTGGCCTATGACATTGTGTAAGTTTAAGGTGTACAACACGTTGATCTGATACACTTACGCACTGCGAAATGATTGTCACAGTGTTAGCTAACCCCTCCAGCACCTCTTGTGGCGAGAACATAGAAGATCTTCCCTTCCTGGGACTCTTCCCCCACCTCCTTCCTCCTGGAGCCTGACACACACGTAATGGGTGGCCTTACAGTTGCTATTGCGTCAACGACTTTCACTGCATACTCTGCTGCCTGGCTTCTGCAAACAGTCCAGGTGTGGCCATCCTCCCTGAGTCCGAGGCCAGAGGTCTCCAGCACTGACTGCAGGGGGTCTGGAATCAAGCAAGCCCCGGGATGAGGCCAGGTGCGCTGGTTGATCAAGAGTATTAGTAAACACGTGTTTGACAACTTCACATCACATGTCAGGGGACACTAATAAACTCGGAGAGAGCACAGGACGTGCCTGAGTCTGGCAAGCATCCCCCTTTCTGAATTTCAAGGTTAGCCACAAACTCTTCTATCTGGCATCTGCCACAAAGTAGGTGCTCAATACACACTGCTCCAGACTTAGAAGATTTCAACTTTGTGATGGTGGGTTCCAGCACGGAGTTCCATGTATTGTTGTATTGCACAGCTCTCAGATGAGGTCGGCTTTGGGATTCACCTTACTTTAAAGATTTACTCTAGGATGAATATGTCTACATTGTAATGAATGTTTTGGTTTCTTTCTTTTTTTCTTTTTTCTTTTGAAATATACATAGACTTAAATCATCTTGTGAAATGACACTATGTGTGCATAAAGGT